CCCGCGCCCCCCGAGCCGCGGCACAGCTCGAACCGCTGCAGCACCACCGGGTACCTGGGATGGGGGAAGGGGGTGTCACCACGGAGACAGGCACCAGGTGACCTCGGTCCTGCCCTTCCCCCCCCATCCTCAGTGGGTGTTGTGGGGGGAAATGGAGTGTTGCTATGGTGACAGGCACCTGGCGACCCCTCCACTCACCCCCATCACTTGATACCCATGGGGGGACGCAGCATCGCTATGGAGACGAACACTGGGCAACCCCCCCTACCCCACCCCCCATCACCTGGTACCCACTGGGGAGGGTCACAGCATCACTATGGAGACAGGTGCTGGGCAACCCCTCTACCCACCCCATCACCTGGTACCCATGGGGGGGTGGGCAGAGAGACACACAATGTCACTATGGAGACAAGCACCAGGCAACCCCTCCGCCCCCCGCATTATGTGGTATCCATGGGGGCACAGCATCGTTATGGAGACAGGTACCGTGCAACTCGTGCCTCTACCCACCCCGGGGGTCACCGGCAGAGGAAGTGTCACTATGGAGACAGGAGCCGGGTAACCCCCCCCCCCCCCCAAGCTGGGCCCCACATAGGTGATGGGCTGGGGGGCGCACCCCATGAGCGCCGCGGCCACCCAACGCGCCAGCAGGAGCCGTCTCCTGCCACTGCCTCCCCCCGGGGCCTCCTGAACCCCCAGGAGGGCCCCAGGCAGGGCCCCGGCCCCCCACGCCTGCCCACCGCTGCTCCAGGATCTCGGGGTCGGTGATGCGGGTGTTGGTCATGTGGGTGTGCACCCCGCTACGCCCGTGCCAGCTGGGCCCCGCGCCCGCGCCGCCCGCCACCGTCTCGTAATAGCCCACGCGCTCGTTCCCGAACGTCACGTTGTTCATGCAGCCCTGCGGGGGCGAGACGGGGCAGGCCAGGCCGTCACCCTGGTAGTGCCCACCGCGGCCGGCAGCCCCTGCCTGGGGTGCCCAGCCCGTGGGGAGGCAGCGTCCTGCCCCCAAAGGGAGAACTTGGCCCCCCATCCTGAGGGAAGCCCCCCACTCACTACCACCAATCCCACCAGGCTTAGACCCAGCCTAGCAGGCAGGTGTGGCCCCCGCTGCTCACCTGGGAGGCCGCGCAGGCTCCGAAGGCCTTGAAGATGACGTCCACCACCCGCTGCGAGGTCAGCACGTTGCCCCCGACCACGGCTGCCTCCAGCGACGGGTCCAGGATGGAGCCCTTGGGGATGACGACCTGCACCGGTGCCAGGCAGCCCTGTGGGGCCAAGGGGTCACGTCTGCCCACCCCCAATCCGGGCTGCACCCCAGGGCCTGGGCAAGGCCCTGGGGGCCTGACCACCCCCCAAGACCCCTGCAACACAGCTCAGACCAGGCTGGGGGAAGCCGCCCTGAGCATGGGGCAGCTGGAAACAAGGGGCATACTTCAGCCTCACACGCGGGACCAGCCCGGCTCAGGGGGGCGCCACTGGGTGCAATGAGTTTGGGGGCCTCAGCTGCGCTCCTGCCTGGCTCAAGGGCTCTGGCGGGTCCCGGGGAAAGAGGGGAGGAGGGTGCAGGGGCCACGGCAGCCTGGCAGGGACAGGGACGGGGGAGGGGGCACCTGGTTGAGCGGGATGTCCTGGCCCACCATGCAGCGCAGGCAGTAGATGAGCGCCGAGAGCGTGATGGCACGCGGCGCGTTGCAGTTCCCGTGCACCTCGTGCCCGGAGCCCGTGAAATCGAATACGGCGCTGCCCTGTGACCACAGCTGGGTTCAGGGATCCCCCTTGGGCAGACCCTGCTCCCAGCAGCACCCCTTTCCCCTGGGGGCTCCCACCCCACTTCCTCAGCCCCTGACTCACCTCTTGGGGGTCCACCCGCACTTGGAGCCGGATCGGGGACCCGTCATCCATGTGATCCTCTGCCTTCACCACCACGGGGTGCCCGGGCTGCCCCCAACGTGCAGCAAAGTCCCGCAGCATGTCACGCACCACCACCTCTGCATTGGCCTGGGGGACAGGGCACAGGGACCAAGGTGTCCCAAAGGCTGGGGCAGGCAGGGCACTGTGCAGAGCCCGGAGGTCCCCCGGCCCCCCTACCTGGATGTGCGCCATGTAGGCCTGTACCACGGGCAGCCCATAACGCGCGATGAGCTCACCCACCAGCTGGATTCCCTTCTGGTTGGCCGCCACCTGTGCCCGCAGGTCCGACAGGTTGTCGTGCAGGTTGCGGGTCCCGCTGCTGCCTGCGATACGGCCGGGAGCCAGCAGGGCCTCGGTCACGGCTGCCGGCAGGAGGGAGAGAGGGCGTGAGCAGCGCAGGGGGAGCCTGCAGCCCCGTGGCACTGCTTGTCATGGGGCAGATCCAGGGGGTGTAGTCACCTGCCCCACCCACAGTGCAAAACCAACAGCCTGGCAGCAGAAGCAGCGTTTCTATTCAGGCAGCAGGGAAGGAATCATATGTCTGATTCCTGCTAAACCCTTCACTCCACAGGTGTTCACGACTCTCTCCTCGCTGTTGTGCTAACGAATGTGGCCTTCTCCGCAATTCTGCTATCCCTTAGTTATGCCTGGTAGTGTGGCTCCTACTGCATGGCCCTATGGACTGGTTTTAATTCTAGCGAAAAGCATCAGCTCTGCCAAACACCAACTCAAGCAGCTTTCAGCAACCTGCTACACCGTCAATGTGCTCAAGACAACTTGAGTTTAGTTAGGAGCTGAAAAAGGCATCGATTTAATTCCAGCGGCTCCAGGAGCCATGAAACGATGCCTGCTGATGCTTTTTGCCAACTTTGTTGAGGATTTTTTAGGTAAACACTGAACCTAGATTCATAGATGTAGGGTCAGACGGGACCTGAGCAGATCATCAAGTCTGACACCCTGCCCTGGACAGGAATGAATACTGGGTTAATATGACACCAAGTTAAGCTCATATGACCCCAGCAAGGTAGTCATCAAGCCTCCTTTTGAAGACCCCCAGGTTAGGAGCCAGCACCACTTCTCTTGGAAGCTGGTTCCAGACCCTAGCCGCCCTGACAGCGACGTAGCGCCTCCTGATGTCTAGTCTGAACCTGCTCTCTAGCAACTTGTGACTGTTATTTCTGGTAGTGCTCAGGCGAACAGGGTCTCACCCAATCCCCTCTGGTCCCCCTGGTAAGTTTATAGACGGCCACCAGATCCCCTCAGCCTTCTCTTGTGGAGGCTGAACAGGTCCAGGTCCCGTCGCCTCTCCTCGTAGGGCCTGCCCTGCTGCCCCCTGACCATGCGGGTGGCCTCCTCTGGATCCTCTCCATGCTGCCCACATCCCTCCTGACGTGGGGCGCCCAGAGCTGGACACAGTAGTCCAGCTGTGGCCTGACCAGTGTTGCTTAGAGGGGGAGGATCAGCTCCTTGGCCCTGCTCAAGATGCATCTGTGGATGCACGACAAGATGCGGTTGGCCTTCCTGACCGTGTCCTCGTATTGGTGGCCCATGTTCATCTTGGAATCAATAATGACTCCAAGATCCTTTTCTGCCTCTGCGCTGACGAGAAGGGAGTTCCCCAGCCTGTAGGTCTGCTGCTGGCTCTTCCTCCCCAGGTGCAATACCTTGCACTTGAGTATAGGATGGGATTCAATACTGACATCTGGCCACCCCTGTAACCTGTTCGGGTCCATCTGTATCCTGTCCCTCCCTTCTAGCATGCCCACCTTGCCCCAAATCTTGGTGTTGTCTGCGAATTTGAACAAGGTGCTTTTCACCCCCTCGTCCAAGTCCCTAATAAAGAGATTGAACAGTGCAGGCCCAAGGACTGAGCCCTGGGGGACCCCACTGCCCACTTCCCTCCAGGTCGAAAATGACCTGTGCACCACCACTCTCTGGGTGTGGCCCCCCAGCCAATTTGCGACCCATCCGACCGTGTAGGCATCAATGCTGCAGTCACCTAGCTTTTTATGAGAATGGGGTGGGAGACAGTGTTGAAGGCCTTCCTGAAGTCCAGAAAGACTACATCCACTATGACACCTGTGTCCAGGGATTTTGACCTGGTCGTAGAAAGCAACCAGGTTGGTCTGACAGAACACAAAGCTATGGGGAGAAGTGGACATGCTGGAGGGCAGGGAACAACTACAAGCAGACCTGGACAGGTTGGACAAGTGGGCAGAAAACAACAGACTGCAGTTCAACAAGGAGAAATGCAAAGTGCTGCACCTAGGGAGGAAAAATGTCCAGCACACCTACAGCCTAGGGAATGACCTGCTGGGTGGCACGGAAGTGGAAAGGGATCTTGGAGACCTAGTGGACTCCACGATGAACATGAGTCGGCAGTGTGACGAAGCCATCAGAAAAGCCAA